CATGAAATGGGGCTCCATTGAAGTGGTCGAACTCGGTTGACCAGAACTCCAACTCTTCGCAAGCACTCGGGGACAGTAACAACCTGCTGTTCCATGAAGACGCATCGTTGATGGTTTGTAGTAAGGCATGACTGAATGCTCGCGCTGTCGCCCCAAGAGCAAGGGTCATGGAGGCGAGCATGCCTGTGATGCGTGCGACTTGCCGTACTGGGACTTTGTGCTGTGCACGTCCTGCTGCCAATAATGAGGCGATGGTGGATTGCAGGACGCTTCGTCGCTCGGTGCCGACAGAAAACTGTCCTCGTTGGGTATCGAGCTCCAATCCTAGGAATCTTAGCTGCTGAGTAGGATGGAGATGAGACTTTTTGGCGTTGATCACGAGGCCCGCTTCTCTTAGGTCCGTGATCGTGCGGGAGCAGACATCTCGAGCCGCGCCTTCTGTGTGGCACAGAAAGAGGATGTCATCTACGTAGGGAATGACGCGGACCCCTGTTGCTCGCCATCGACGTGCCAACTGCTTTATCAATTGAGTAAAGACGAAAGGCGCTGTCGCTAGTCCGAACGGAAGTGATCTGAAACAGTACGAACGCCCCTCGAACTGAAAGCCCAAGAATTTCCAACAGGATGCGTGGATGTCAACGTGGTGGTAACCCGACTTGAGATCAATTGAAAACATCCAATCCCCTGGATGTGCAAGTTCCGCCACGCGAGATAGTCCTTCGTACTTGAACTTCGGAATGCACAGCTCGTTATTAACTTTGCGTAAATCTAGGATGAGGCGACACTTGTCTTGCTGCTCGACGACGTTGAGGGGGCTAATGCATGCAAGCTCCGATGCTGGCACCTCGATTGCTGCGCCAGTTTGAAGAAGGTCTGTGATGGCTGATCGCGTAATATCCATGTGAGCATGGGTTCCAGCATGATTGGAGCACTGAAATGGTCGTGGCGGTCCTTGTTTCCACGGCATCCAGTAGCCTCGTTCGATAATTGATAAGATAAGACTACTCGTACACCATGTTCGCCACCAAGCCAGTGCGGATCGCAAGCGCCCTCGCATGACGAAAATTGTCCTATCCGTCACTGCGTACTCGAAAGGGTCGTCTTGTTGCCCCAAGGCATGCATCGGCACGCCTGCACATGGCAGTATACGAAAATGCAACACATGACCGTTAGCGTTTTTTTTTTTTTTTTTTTTTTTTTTTTTTTTTTAAACCAAGCAAGCATTGACGCTCGAGTGGGATAACCCCTCTTGTAAGCACGAGACCAGGGCCTTTTTTTTTTTTTTTTTTTTTTTTTTTTGAAAACTCTCATGAAAGCCCGTTTCCAAGGACTTCTATAATTCCTTGGCTAGCACTCCCCCCACTCCGTGGTTCCATTTCTCGACCTTCTCACCCTCTCCCTTTCTCTCTCTTTCTCTCTCTTCCTCTCTTTCTTTCTCTCTCTCTCTCTCTCTCTCTCTCTCTCTCTCTCTCTCTCTCTCTCTCTCTCTCTCTCTCTCTCTATCTCTCTCACCCTCCCTCTCTCTCTTTCTCACCCTCTCCCTCTCTTTCTCTCTTTCTCTCTCTCTCTCTCTCTCTCTCTCTCTCTCTCTCTCTCTCTCTCTCTCTCTCTCTCTCTCTCTCTCTCTCTCAACTTCTGCCATTTCTTTTATGTGTCAGCCCATGGCAAGGTTGTTTGCCCTTTGGTTTTTCATATTAATGTTAGGAGATTAAGTTTCTCGAGGCTTCAATTGCCTCCCTCAAAAGGCCTCCTTGAGGCGTGGCGTGAGAAAACTGAAGAGCAACCAGGAGATCCTTTAGTAAGGCTTCTCTTCACTCTCACAACAAAAATGCACAACAAAAATTTATAATTAGAAAGAGCAACTCCATAGAGCTTATCAAGAACTTCTATGCAAGCGCCCTTAGACCCTCAATGGTCTATTCCCCTTTAGAAACATTTTCACAGCAAAACTAAACGGGAAGAGATCAACTTCATGATGCTCTAGAGAGCTTCTAGGCAAACGCCTTAGACCCCAAAGGTCTTTCCCCTAAGGGCTAGCCAATCGGCAATAAAACCAGCCCAAGGGCAAGGCCAATAGCCGCCCCGTCGAGTTTAAACTACCGGCGCGGGTCCGTGAGGACCGTGCCCACCGGCAGGGCATGCGTTGGCAGTGTGGCCTGGCTGGCCACAGCGGGAACAGGTGCCGCGGAAGCCCTTTGCATTGCAGCCAGGAGCCATGTCGAATTTGCCACCAAACCCCGTGGGGCCTCGGCCTCCAAGGGAAGAACCGCGACCATAGGAGCCTTGGGCGCGGTTCATCGCTGCCACATCCGCGAGCGCCTGCTTGAAGGGGCGCGAAGTCAGCACACTTTTCTGCTGGTACAGCTTGAAGCGGTGCGCCGTCTTGAAGTCGGAGGCGTCGGCGACTTGAAGGAGTTGGAAGCGATCGGCGATGAGGGCGTACGCCTCTTCGAAGTGCTCGAGAGCGCCAGTAGTGTCGCCGTGGCGTATCTTGTGCTCCGAGTGCTTCAGGTACGCTCGCAGGTCCTCTAGAAATTCCGCTTGCTCGCGTACTCCGGCGTGGTGAAATGAGGAGGCGGGAATCGTGGGATTGGTGGATGGGAGTGGAGGAAGGTGCTCAACGGGTGCAAGAAAGTTGTTGTGTGCATGAGCCTCACCCGCTTCGTCTTCTGAGTCGCTGCCGTCGTTGTTGTTGTTGGGCACCGCAGTAGCAGCATTTTCCCTTTCGGCGCGAGGGACTTCGTGTGCGCGAGCGTGACGCGCCAAATCGTTTCTTGCATTTGCGTTTTTAGCAGATGCAGAAATTGTTGTCGCTGTTGCCGTAACTGCCGGTGGCTGCTGCTGTAACAGCGCCAAAAAACGCTTGGACTTGGTCAGCAGTCAGCGCCGGAGTCAAAACAGGGTCAGCCGTCGCGTCAGACGAAGACCCAGTTCGGCGCCTCTGGCGCTGACGCGACGGTCCAGCCACAGGTGCTGGCGCGTGCTCGGCGTCGGGCGCGTGTGGCGCCACAGGTGCTGCAGGTGCCGCCGTCGCCACTTGCGCCACTGGCGCCACAGGTGCCGAGGGGTGCTGCTGGTTGGCGGTTTTGTTGACTTCGCCACTGCGCGTCAAAAGGTCGACACCAGTGGGCGCGTTACCCTCGTCGTCCGCCCGCCGCTTGTTGCGGCGATCTCCCGTAATTTCACGGGTATTCTTCTCGTTGTCCGAACGGTTCAGGGCGTTGTCGCTCGGCGCCATCGAAGCTTGATTGTAGTTAAGAATATCCGATAGCAGGGTAGATGGTGCTTGAAAACGTGGAAGGGTTTTCACCCTCGCCAGGTTGAGGTCCGAAAAAATCGGGAGGGAGTTGGAGCCTCCGAAAAAATCGGGATGGGTCTCGGAACTGGGAATTGAACTTGAGCGATTGTAAAATGAGAGACGTGGGTGGGGGAAGAATGACCCCAGCCCACATTATATATTCGGAGAAGGCGAATACCGCGCTTCGACGATGCACAAAATTGCATTACAGTCAGCTTCGCTTTCACAATACGCAAATTTGAAAGCGATAAACGCTTAGAAATTTTTCATTTTTTGACAGCGTCCAGTGTCTGCATTGTACAATATTGTATATAAGCTTTACATGTGAATGAAGTGACCTGGGCTTTATCATTCATCATCAGCCTACTGTATGACTACAGACCTGCACATCTGCAAAAATCTGGGTGCAGTGCAAATCTATTCTGCAGCAATATATGTGTGCCCATGCACGTGGCAAAAAACTTGCACATCCTGCCAAAAATATGCACATCTTAAGAAAAACTGGGTGAAGATGGGATTCATCTGTTCCATAATTCTTCAAACAGTGGTAGGTACTTGTGTTCCATTCCATGCATGATATCGGTAAGAGAACAGCGAGCTTTACCACCTAAGCTGCAATACGTGAGAAAGGTGCAAGGGAGAAATATTCACAGCACAGTATTGCAGTCCACAAAAGCGAACACTGAGACTGATGCTGATACTGGTAGTTGAGTGTCAAATTACAGACATCATACAAAAGAATCACAATCCGTGCTGGAAGGACCTTCACTCTTTCTTGCCGATCCCAAAAGACATGTTGAACAAGCCCCTGCCCTGCAACCCACCAGCAGCACAGAAGGGAACGGACCCAGGTAACAGATTAGCTAAGTATGACCAGAGGAGACGACCAAAGGAGACGAACCTCAAAGTTCCCAGAAGATACAAAACGGCCGTTTATGGCCACCTTCCATGAAAGTCCCGACTCTCATGCGCTCTTAGTCAAGAGTCCTTTTGAAAAATGCAGCACGAAGGAGAGGGCCAAAAGCTTTCGCACTGTGCAGGTCGTGAGAGACCGTAATTTCAATAAGCGCTCAAGTTGATGCGCCTCAGGATGAGCACGGTGCGCGCACCGTGAGAACGGACGGAGCGTCTTTGAGGCGCCTCAAAAGGCGAGTTCATGCGCTTTGCGCACGGAAGGAGCACGGTGCGGGCACCGCGAGAACGGACGGAACAAGAGCGAACGGAGCAGCATTGCGCGAGGTCGTGACGCGGTCGCGAAGCGAGCCGACTGCAACGGCTATTGTGCGAATCTATGCAGTGCGAATCAATGCGATTCAGTGCGATTCAGTGCGGTAGTGTGCGATCTCGTCGTCGGAAAGCTACAGACAATAAGCACGGCAGCGCCCAGCGCGAGCATGGACGGAATGACGACGCTCGTGATCCGATCACCGGGACCCCTCATGCGCGTGAAGGATCGAGCTGACTGCAACGGATTCCGCTCACTCAGATCGATTCTATGTTCTACAATACGGTTCAATTAAATCCAGAGCGGTCCAGTACGGGGCCACAGCATACTGTCTTACAATGAGCGCGGCGGCGGTCAGCGCGAGCACGGACGGAATGACGACGCTCGTGATCCGATCACCGGGACCCTTCATGTGAGTCAATGCGCGAGCTGACTGCAACAGCTTCTGCTGCTCCCGAAGCGCACTGCTGACGTCCGTCATGGTGAGCGCTTCGTTCTGCTGGTCACGAAGGGCGTTGAGAAATAAGCACGATGACGAAAATAGACGAACGACGAAAAGATGGCGCGAGTATTATCACGCGGTGAACAGGAGACAACTGCGGCTGCTCAGGAATCGGACGACGAAAAAACGAGAGAGAAAAATATACTTGTTGATACACTGGAAGCACAGCACTTACGGAAAGATTAATCGACGGAACGTGAGGGATGGTGGCCCGAGTCCACGATCAGGTAACGCAGCAGTAGCTGAACGGTAAGAAGCAACGCTTGGCAGGTATCTTGGAGAATCTATAACCTTTTGAACTCTAGGGTTCCGCTCTGGAGTTGAGCTGAGGCGGGGGAAGCTAAAGCTTGTCAGGCTGTACGCGCTGTTGAACAATGCCCCAACAAGGTTACGACGAATGCAATTGCCTTAACCAATAAGGATTGCACTATGGGCCCAAAATAGTACAATGCACGAGAAGGCATAAGGTAAAAGGGCGACTATTTAGCTCGGCAGAATGGGAGTTGGCAACGGAGCAACCGAAATGGCGCCACAAAAGTGAAGCTTTACGATTAAAAATATTACAAGAGGCCTCACTCACAACACAGCCCCTAACAAGCAAAAAATCCACACACAAACAGATTCACCCTTATAAACCCCCCCGGGAAGACTTCATACAAACAAACTACACCAAGTATTCATCCAGCTTACTTGCGCATGCACACTTATTGAACTACACCACGACGAGCATTGCATTTGTGGAAGGTTGCTTGAATGTATCTTACTGCTCAGCATTAACACGCTCAGCTTCATCTATCCATTCAGAAAACCTGCGATGAACAGAGCGGGGATAAATTGTTGATAAATCACCTCATTTCATTCAAAGATATGTGCATGAGTGACAGCGAACACAAAAAGGCAGAGAGCGAGGAAAGAGGAGGGGCGAATGTCATGGGTGTGTGAAAAGACAGGAGGTGGATAGAGAGGATGGGCCAGGATAGATTCAGAGGCAGGTCACGTACAGGTCAATCGGCTCGCTCAAATCTGTTGGTGATGCAGAGCAGCAGCACACCATGTGGAAACAAAATCAGGACGATCATAATTGAAGCCGCATGCCGCCAAGAATAAGGTGGTCCGAAGTTGAGCATTTTGTTACAAGAGTTGGATGGCAAGACGGAAAAAAGGGCGGCAAGGAAGGTGGAGAGGAAGAAGAAAACGGGAGATACAGGGGAAAAGAATACAGGTAAATAAGCCACAACGATGAAAGCTATGCAGTTAAAACTGATGAGAAAGACGAAAGCCATAACACAACTGGATGGGTGGATGGATGGATGGACAAACAGATGGATGGGCGGACAATTGTGCACGCACTGTCAATGGTGGTTTGGTACTGCTCGGAGCACACGCGGCACGACACCGTCCCTATGCCTGCATTTCGGTCCCTGCACGGCAACGCAATGGTCCAGCAGAACGTAAAAGTGATCGTCAGGGTGATTGGGAACAGAGAAGTGATCGAAATACCGGGACGCGATCAGACGAATGAGCCACGGATAGGCATGATAACATGCAATACTTGATTGAGGCAAGCGGGCAAGCGAAAGCCGCTGTAGGCGCTTCAACGGCCAGCACGCTGTGTTAGACGGAAGAGGAACGCGGCTTATGGCAGTCAGAGAGATTAAGCCTGCCGTCGCGCGAAAGCACGCGGCGCTCACCCGTCGGGAGAATACGGAGTTCTAAAGGCGTAGTGCTGCGTATAGTTACTACTGCGCTCGTTGCACATACAGCAGACGCTCGTTCCACGTACAATTTGCACTCGACGCTGGCCTCGTGATTGCAGAACGGGCAGTTGAAAGTCGTCGGGACCTTCTGAACCCTCCTCGCCTCGGGCTTAGCTGCCGACTTTCGCTTCCCCATTCGGACGCGCACGCGCAGGTGAGCTGTTGGCCGTTAGCGACTCGGAGTCGGACGCGCAGGCGAGCTGTTAGCGGGGGCACTGGACTGAACCTTCTCAGAATTCTTTAGAACTTACTGAGTCGTATCAGAGTCACCTACTGGAGTTTGGCACTGGAGTCAGGCAAGACCAAATAGCAGCGTTCAAGCAGCTGCGATCATGCTAACTTGAAAGAATAGGATTCGCAAGGATACGACGAGTACTCGCAGGCTCTGCTTACGGGTACATAGCTGTTAGGGACAAAAAATAAGGTTCTCTCTGGCGGTCTTCTGACCTAGTGACTGGGAACGAGGATCTGAAAGCCAGAAGGCGAATGATTGATGGTGAAGCTGGGAAACACAGTCTGCGCGATATTAACTGAAACGAAAGGCTGTGCGTAACACGTCATGGACCTATCAGCGAAAGGAATGGTCGTGGTCTTTAATCTCTTCGCCTTAGCTCAATACTGTAATAGCAGCCCTGTCAGAGGTAGGGTAAGGGAAATATCTTTGTTGGCCAATCAGCTGAGTTCTGATGCGAACGCGACGGGATTTGCAATTACTTCTCCTCGAAGTTACGGAGTACACTCGGAGCTATTTGTTGCAAGCAACAAAAGATTGTTTTCGTGAAGTGCGTATGATTTTTTGGCCACGGACCCCGTCAGCACGGACCACTCACAGGAGACTAACCCTAAGTTCGAGTGTCCCCTGAACTGTTGGCAACTCCCATCCCAACCCAGACTTGTCACAAGAGATTTTTTCTTCTACCTCTACCCCGAAATGCGGGGTGTACCTGCTTCGTGGACCTACTGCCTCTAAAATCTCCGTCCAAGGCGTTGACGGAGTTTTCCTCCATGCTGGCGGAAATTCTTGACTTCTTGACGGAACCTTGACACACGTTTTGCATTCTCCAGAGAGCCATCACTCAGCACCGGGATTGACGGCACCTTCCTGCCAAATCACCTCCACCATATCTCATGCTGTTCTTTTTTGCTTCCACTGATACAAACATTCATTTCCTTGCCGTCCTACCAGCACATATCCACATATCCAGATACAGTATTTTTAGGTTGACATTAGTCGTGCGAAACTTGTTTGACTGCGCGCTTCGTAAGTAGCATCTGATCACGTCTCGGTGGCTGTAGGTCAGGTGTAACGGTCACCGCGTCCGTTGCTGACGGTGCGATGAGCGTTCGTGATGTAGATTCGTCGTGACGATCAGTTCGTAGCCGTTCGTCATCGGCAACGAAATCCGTCAGAGTCCGTCAGTAGCAGCCGGCACGATGCTGGACGTCGCGCCGCTCACGTTCCTAGTGGTCTTCATCGTTTGCACCGTGGGAGCATGGATAGTCTCCAAGTAAGATAATAATTCAATACCAGCTTCTTGAATAATTTCCAAGCAATTTCTGAAACACCAGAAGCTCCAGTGTAATAAATGCGACACAGTGACAGCTCGTTGCGCGTAATATGAAAGATCGCTCCAGTTAATACACATTGTACCGTCCCATTGTTCTCGATCAGCTTCACGATTATCAGCCATATTCGTCTGGCATCACCCTGATACTCAGGATAGCTAAAGCCTTGGATATTCCACGTTGTGAAACCCCCGTATACACATTCTTTTGAACGCAGGTTCTTCACGCAGATCGTGACCCTCGCGATCAAGGTTACCACAGGAAATTCGCTGAGCTTTCGCGTGCTTGGCCTCTTGAAGGTCAAGGATATCCATTGCGCCTTCAAAAAGGTCCGTCCCTTCCTCGTTGATTTCACCCCCAACACAACCACCCTCCCTTAACCCGAGTTAAACTACACTACAATGCTGCACATTGTTCACTATACTGCTGCAGAGTCTTCAGTTCCGCGCATTGTTCAACAGGGTCCGATACAGAGCGTGACGATACGCGAGGTGAAGGGCCACCTGGTGCGTTTCAAGTCGACTCAAAACACACTTATATGTCTCCCGTCCCCCGCCCACCACAACAGGGTCCGATACAGAGCGTGACGATACGCGAGGTGAAGGGCCACCTGGTGCGTTTCAAGTCGACTCAAAACACACTTATATGTCTCCCGTCCCCCGCCCACCACAACAGGGTCCGATACAGAGCGTGACGATACGCGAGGTGAAGGGCCACCTGGTGCGTTTCAAGTCGACTCAAAACACACTTATATGTCTCCCGTCCCCCGCCCACCACAACAGGGTCCGATACAGAGCGTGACGATACGCGAGGTGAAGGGCCACCTGGCATCCCTGAGCAGCCTCAAGCTGCGCCTGCGCGTCAAGATCAAAGACGTTGACATCGTGCTCCGCCCCTCGCCCCCCTCCACCTCCAAAAAGAAGAAAAAAGCCTCCAAAAATGCCTTCAGCAGCAGAGGATCCGCGGCTAAGGGCCCGGCCAGGAAGGCCGGGGCGATTGCCGCCGCCTGGGGCCGGTGGAAGCTTCTGGGAAGCTTCTCCCGGGTGGTTCGGGTGTGCCTGTTTGACGTGTCTGTGCGGTGGGCTCAGGCCCCTGACGTGTGCTTCCAGCTGAGGGAATTTGATCTGTTCTCCACGGCTGATGCCTCGGGGAAAGGGCAGGTGGCTATGCGATTGGAGCTGCTGGGTATCTCGCTCTCCCATCGCCCCCCTGTTTCTGAAAAGAGCCCTGGGCTCCGATCTAGATCGATGAATCTGTTCAGGATTGGGGGTGGGGGTGGGGGTGGGGGTGCGGAGGAGGGAGAGGGGGAAGGGGAGTGGGATGGTGGGGGAGAAGGGAGGGGAAGAAGGAGTGTGGGAGGAGGAGAGGGGAGTGGGGATGATTCGCTGCCGTTGATGCTGCTGGAGAGCTGGACGACTGATGTGGCACTAGGGTTTGACAGGTCAGCAGTCTATGAGCATTTTCATTGCAGGCCAACGTTTTTATCACAGGTCAACTGTGATATTCACACGTCAGCTTTTTAAGCTCTGACTCCTCTTCTCCCTCTCCATTCGCCCTCTCCATTCTCCATCCTCCCCCGCGCTCGCCCCGGGGGAGGTGGGCATAGCGTTGCGGTTGGTACAGCTGCACTGGTCAGAGCTCGAGCTAAACCTCTCGCCTCGTCCCTCACACTCCCCTTCTCCCTCTCCTGCTCCATTCTCCATCCTCCCTCCCTCACCCCCAGAGAGGTAGGCATAGCAGTGCGGCAGCTGCAGCTGAACTGGTCGGAGCTCGAGCTGAACCTCTCTGAACGTCTGCTCGCGCTGCGCATTGTCAAGGCCCCCAAGCGCCCCCCTGCCGCCCAGCCCCCTGTTCCTGCTGCACCCGTGGCTGCCGCGGCAGTTCCTGTGCTGGTGAACGAGAGAAAACGTCCCAACCTCCCAGAAAAGGTGCGGTGATGTTTTCTTGCTACTCAGGCTAGGGTAGGGCAGGGCTTTACCTAGGCTTTGAGACCCTTTTGCATGCTGCACCTGTGGCAGCAGCAGCGCATGTTCCTGTGCTGATGAACGAGAGGAAGCGTCCCAACCTCCAAGGAGAAGGTGTGTGTAGTGCCTGGTCCCCAGCTCCTCTGGAGGTTTGCACCCCCTGCTCTCCTTTCTCCACTTGCTCCTCCTGCTCTTCCTTCCCTGCACCAGGTGCGTGCAAGAGTGGAAGTAATTATGTCTCGCATCATGCCCTGCCCCCCTCATCGCCCTGCCCTTCTTCCCGTTTTCGCCCCATTCCCCCCTGCACCAGGTGCAAGTCACCCTACCACGAATCATGCTGCGCCTCTGGCACCACCGCTGCGGCCTCCTGCTGCCCCCCATTACCGTGTCCCCTCTGCTCCCCCTGCTCCCCCTATTTTTCCCACTTCCTTCTCCCTGCACCAGGTGCAAGTCACCCTGCCTCGCATCATGCTGCGTCTGTGGCATCACCGCTGCGGCCTCCTGCTGCGCAGCAGCTGCGGCCCCATCACCCTCTCCTCCACGCTCTCCCGCCCAGCGCCTGACCTCTCAGTCATCGAGGCTGATTTCAGCATCGGCATTGTGGAGGTGAGTGAGCTGATAGGGAAGGACGCTGATAGGGGTGATAATGAGACGCCTCAAGAACCACCACCCTCTCCTTTCTATTCTCTCCTGCCCGGCTCCTGATCCCTCTGTAATCGAGACTGATTTCAGTATTCGCATTGTGGAGGTGAGTTGATAGATAGCAACGCGCGCTAATGGTATTGTGAAAGTGGGTGGGGTGTTGAATCTTGAGAGTCGTTTTCTACGAGCCACTTTGCCGTTCCACACCGTCACCCCGCCTCTACCGATCGCCCCTCCCCTCTCCCACTCGCTCCTCCCCTCTCCCACTCATTCCTCGCCTCTCATCCCTCCCCATTAGTACTCATTTCTCTCCCTTCCAACTCGTTACTCCCCTCTCCCACCCATTCTTCCCTACTCTCCCTCGCTCCCCTCACCACCCCTCCCCTCCCCCCCTCTGTTGTCTTCCTGCCACCCATCTCCCCAGGTTCTGAAGAGTGCCGAGGGTAGTGCCCTGTCAGTCATGCGTGTATCTTCATCAGCTTGCCTCTCCTTCCCACACTATGTGAGTCAGAAAACAAAGTGACTTCTGAGTCGATCCAAGAGGGCAGTGCCCTGTCAGTCATGCGTGTATCGTCATCAGCTTGCCTCTCCTTCCCACACTAAGTGAGTCAGAAAACAAAGTGACTTCTGCGTCGATCCAAGAGGGCAGTGCCCTGTCAGTCATGCGTGTATCGTCATCAGCTTGCCTCTCCTTCCCACACTATGTGAGTCAGAAAACAAAGTGACTTCTGAGTCGATCCAAGAGGGTAGTGCCCTGTCAGTCATGCGTGTATCGTCATCAGCTTGCCTCTCCTTCCCACACTATGTGAGTCAGAAAACAAAGTGACTTCTGCGTCGATCCAAGAGGGTAGTGCCCTGTCAGTCATGCGTGTATCGTCATCAGCTTGCCTCTCCTTCCCACACTAAGTGAGTCAGAAAACAAAGTGACTTCTGAGTCGATCCAAGAGGGTAGTGCCCTGTCAGTCATGCGTGTATCTTCATCAGCTTGCCTCTCCTTCCCACACTATGTGAGCCAGCGTGCCTCTTTACCATGCTAAGTCAAATCTGCCTCTTTATTCTGCGCTATGCCAGTTTACCGTGCCCACATTTCGTTGCTCTCTTCTTGTGTTTTGAGCTCTCCACCCAGCCACCCCACCTCCTCTTATCGCCCGTTATCCTGAACCCCTTTCCCCCGCCGTTGCTTCCTCCCTCAGACGGCAGAGGCAGTGCGGGCAGAGGTGGACGTGACCCTCTCAGCCGTGGACTGGCGGGTGTTCCCTGCTACTCTCTCCCCATGGGTGCCCCTCCCTCACTTTCCGATTTCACCACTTCCAACCGCCTTGCACCTCCATTCTTCCCCACCGTCTCCCTCTCCCTCCCTCAGACGGCAGAGGCAGTGCGGGCAGAGGTGGACATGACTCTATCATCTGTCGACTGGCGGGTGTTCCCTGCTACTCTCGCCCCGTGGGTGGCAGCAGCACTTGAGGAGATGCGGAGGAAGAAAGCAGCGACACTCAGGCGTCAGCACCTGCAGCTGCAGCAGGAGCTGCTGGAAGGGATTCTGTCTCCACGTGCCAAGGCCAGAGGCGCTTCGCGAAAAGCTGATTCACCACCGCTAGGCAAGAGTGCAGCAGCAGCAGGAGAAGCAGGAGGCAGAGTAGGAGGAGGAGCAGGGGCACCAGGAGCAGCGACAGCAGAGGCAGCAACAGTGGTGGAGGTTCCCAAGCCAAAGAAGCCAAAGCGGCCGTTCAGGCTTGAGGCAGTGGTGGGAGCAGTAGGAGCAAAGCTTACAGTACATGATTATGACGGCACTCCTCTCTATAAGGCCTCTGCTGCCAAGTTCCACCTCTTCCTCTCCAAATCCACTGGCTCCCCCCCTGCTGCTACTGCTGCTCCACACGCCTCTTCTTCGACCCCAATGGGGCCTGATTCCCCTGGTTCTGCTGCCGGTGGTGGGAAGGCAGGGTGGGGCAGAAGCAAGGGTGGGCGGTACTCGTTTCTGAGCCGGTCTGGGAGTGTTCTGGGCGGGGGGCCGAGGGGAGGAGGGGGGGCTGCAGGAGCGGGAGGAGGAGGAGGAGACGGAGCAGCCGCAGCAGCCAGCAGTCCTGGGGTTTCCAGGACTAGCAGCAGGGCGGAAGCAGCAGCAACTAGGGCGGGTTTTAGCAGGTCTACGAGCTGCTTTGCTGCCAGTCCTTCTGGTGCTGCTGGTGGTAGTGGTGGCGTTGGTAGGGGCTCTGCCTCCGCCTTCCCTTCCTCCTCCTCCATCTCCGCTTCTCCTGCTGCTGCTGCTGCCACCGCCGCTGCTGCTGTTGGGACGAGCACTGCTGCTGGTGTTGCAGCTGGTGGTGGTGAGAGTGTGGTGGAGGTACAGGTAGAGTATTCAGGCGTGCAGGTGGCACGTCTGCCCAGAGAAGAGGATTTCGCCAGGCTTGCTGAGGCAGACGGTGGTGCCAGTGCTGCTGGTGCCGCTGCTCCTGCTGCTCCTGCTGCTGCTGCGGCTGCGGCTGCGGCTGCTGTGCCTCGGGAGCAGGTGTTTATTCAGGTGTCGCGCCTGGGAGTAGAGTGGGGCCCTGGGATCCCCGACAACTGGGAAGAGCTTGGGGATTCATCCGGAGAAAGGAGAGGGGGGGAGTCATCAGGGGCAGCAGAAGCAGGAGCAGGAGGAGAATCAGGAAGGGGGTTAGGAGCAACAGGGAGTGCCAGTTCCCCCGGTAGTGGCTCTGGTGGGGGCGCGTATAGAGTGGTCAGTGGAGGGGGGAGTGGGGGGAGCGGGGGAGGGGGGATACTAGACAAAGTAATGATGGTGCAGGTGGGGGTGCGGGGACTCAGACTGCGCCCCTCCTTCCCCCTCCTGGGATCGATTGCAGAGGAAATCACCCGAGCAGAGCAGTTTGTCAAGAGGGAGAAGAAGAGAGGTGCGAGCACAGTAGGTGCTGCTGCGGGTGGGGCTGACGCGACTGCTGCTGGTAAAGAGCCAGGCAAAGGGAAGAGCAAGAGTAAGGGCAAGGGGAAGGGCAAGGGCAAAGGTGTGAAGGCGTTTCGGATAGTCCTGGACGACTCGCTCCTGGAGCTGGAGTGTCCCTGCACGGTGGTAGAAGCTGACGTGCTAGACCCAAAGAAAGTTCACTTTGGGGATGAGCTGGGGGAGAGAATTTTCCACCTCACCCCTGAGGGAGACCTTCGAGTGGCAAAGGTTAGGAGGTTTGAGTGGGAGGGGGTTGAGCATGCTTCTGTGGTGTGTGCGTTGCGGGTGGAGCTGCCTTCGGTGTCGGTTGGAGGGAGAGTCGGGGGAAAGCAGGTGCAGGTTGGGGTGGAAGGGGCGAGAGTGGTGTATGTGGAGAAAGGGGAGGGTGGGGAGGTGGGGGGTGCGGTGCGGAGCGGTGGAGTTGGGTTTGGGACGGGGGGTTTGGAAGGGAAGGGAGGGGAGGAGAAGCGGGTGGGGAGGGAGGGTGGGAGGAGGCAGGATGGGGTGATTGCAGAGGTGGTGGTTTGTCGGTTACAAATGGCCCATATGTTGCTTCGGAAAGGGTTGCTATGTCCGGACGGAGGTCCGGCGCCGGACCGGGTGGTGGTTACCGCAGCTGGGCTGGAGGCTCGGTGGGAGCCGGACGTGCAGGTTCTGGTGGTGGAGGTAGGGGAGGAGATGAAGGAGGTGACGGGTCGGAGAAAGGCAGTTATAGAGCAATGGCGGGCGATGACAGAGAGAGAAGGGGAGACGGAGCAGGCACGAGTGAATCAGCAACAGGCAGAGGAAAAGGCAGAGAAGAAGGCAGAGCAGGAGATGCAGCAGCGGGTGCAGGAGCAGAAGGGAGGGAAGAGAGAGGGAGGGGGTGCAGGGAAGCTAGTCACAGCAGGCGGCAGTCTGGATGCAAGTCTTCTCGGGAGAGAAGGTGGGACTCAGCTGGGTGTATCAGCAGCAGCAGTAGCAGCCGGCAGCAGCAGCAATAGCACCACACCCAGGCACAGCAGCAGCACGGCAGCATCTTTGCCGCCGATGGGACCCAGTGGAGAGGGCAGGCGCTCCTTTGGTGTTGCCAAGTCCGCCGGTGCTGCTGTTGTGATCGAGGGTGGTGTGGCGGGGTTAGGAGCGGCTGGGAGTGGTGCCGGGGGTGGTATCTGGCGCAGGAACAGCGACAGCTGTGTCGGTGGCGCAGGGGCATCATCATCATCAGCAGCATTGGATACCGCTGCTGCTGCATCAGCAGCAGGAGCAGGAGTAGCAGCAGCGCTGGCAGCTGGTGATTCCGCAGCTCCAACAAACCCGAGCAAGCCGGTGAAGGCGAAGAAGCCGAAGCCGGTAGTGGCAGTGGATGTGACGGGGGTGGTGGTGACGGTGGGGATAGGCGACGAGACAGAGATGCGTGTGGAGGCCAGGGGGCTCTTCTCTGAGGACGCGGCCATGGGGGCGCTGCTAGAGGGGCTGGCGTTGCGCATCAACGGGGCTGCTATGCTCTTCAGCGAGTCGTTCCAGGTGAGTGGTGAGGTGCCTCCAACACAGTGTGCAGGTGCCTCAAAGATGGTGCTGAGACAGAGATGCGTGTGGAGGCCAGGGGGCTGTTCTCGGAGGACGCGGCTATGGGGGCGCTGCTAGAGGGGCTGGCATTGCGCATCAACGGGGCTGCTATGCTCTTCAGCGAGTCGTTCCAGGTGCGTTGTTCGTCTGGGCGCCTCAAGGATTTTATAAATTTGCGCGGAGGCCAAGGTATTTTTTTCTGAGGACATGATGTCGATTTTTTAGCTGACTAAAGAATTGAGATGTGTGTGGAAGGTAGGGAGCTGTTCTCTGAAGACATGACATGTGTCAATTCAACTGTTACCCCCCCTTCCTTTCCCACTCTCCCACTCCCCTCCCTCCCGCCACCTCCCGCCAGGTTTCTCGTGTGCCGAGTGCAACCCCAGTGGTGGTCGCACCTCCCTCCGCCCCCCCACCACAGCCAGGAACGAGCACACCCACAGTGTGGGACTATGTGATTCAGGCGAGCTCATCGCGCTTCATCCTGCCGTTCCAGTTTGAGGTGCGGGCCGTGGAGGACAGTGCAGAGGACATGATGCGCGTGCTCAAGGCTGTCACTGCCGCTCAGAAGATGGCCCGCCACGCCCGCCGCTTGCGCCAGGGGAGAGCCGCTGCTGCTGCTGGTTCAGGCCCGGCAGCAGCAGCGGCCGATTCAGCAGCCCTGGCTGCTGCAACAGCTGCAGCCGCCGCCGCCGCCACTGCTGCTGCTGCTGCTGCTGGGTCAGGCCCGGCAGCAGCAGTGGGCGATCCAGCAGCACTGGCCGCAGCAACAGCTGCAGCCGCTGCAGAAGCAGAAGCAGCAGGCGTGATCCCCCCCACCGTGCCCTCCTCCTCCTCCGCCCCAAAACCCAAGAAGCCCCCTGCGCGCCAGAAAGGCCTCATACGCCTTATAGTGAAGGAGCTGCTTTTAGAGGTGGAGGAGGAGCCGATTCAAGGGTGGCTGGACGAGAGGAGACAGCTTATGAGACCACTGGTGGAAGATAAGTTGGTGAGGGAGAGATTGCTGGAGGAAGAGGAGGAGAATCTGATGGGCGGGGATATTTTTCCCGCTGGTTTAGAGGGGCTTGTTGGGGAGGTAGCAGGGGGCGGGGATGGGGAGAAGTCACCGCAAGATGTGAGAGGAGGGGGAGGAGGAGGGGGGTTAGGAGGGGGAGGAGGGGGAAAAGGGGTGAGTCCGCAAGTGTTGGCGGCAGCAGCGGCTGCAGCAGAGGCTGTTGGGCCTACAGGTGAAGCCAAGGGTACTGCGGTCAGGCTGAAACTTTTCCGAGAACGTTTCCAGGCTGCCCGGGAGGATCTGCACCGGCGGGCATGCCTGGCGTACAAAGCAGCGTGCGAAAATCTTGTGAAGGATCCAGGCACAGGCTGGGCGTATAAAATCGGGCTGAATGAAAAGTTTCCGATGACCACCACACGAAGAAGCGCTGCTAGCTTGTGGTTTGCGTTTGCCGAGCTGGCTCTGATACCAATAGAGCACGGGCGGCAGGGCATGGTGGCGAAAATTCGCGAGCTAGACACTGTTCCTGCTTCGGATAAGGTACCCATTGCTAGGATGTACGGGCGTGGAGTCGAGCTTTCGTGTGTGGGGCTGAAATTCTCCCTGAGGGACTTCCCGCTTCCGCTGTTTGCGGCAGCTTCCGGGAAGCTTCGTGCAACGGCGATCATGGCAGCACAGGCCACAGTGCACCAGCCGCAGCAGAAGTCCGACGTGTTTCTGGGAAGGTTCCGCCGGGTTACCGTGTTACGAACGGCCAGCGGAGCCACCCCTCCGTTGAAGTTCTACTATGAGGCTGAAGCAGAGTTTGAATCGGCCGATCTGTCGTACGGGGTGGGGTATGAGCCGATGCTGTTTGCCGATGTGAGTTACGCGGTAACCTGCGCCGTGCGGAAGGGCCAGCCGACGACGAGGCAGGCGAAGGTGATTGCGGCGGCAGCGGCGGCGGCAGCAGCAGCTGGGGTACCGTACCCTCCGGTGCAGAACACCCTCTCTGTGCCTGCTCTTGCAGCTGCGGCGGACCCTGCTGCGGCTCCTCCTGTGTGGCCTCCGGTGGAAAGAAGCTTGCCGTGGTGGGATATTATGAGGTACTACATGCACGGGCATGCGCATATTGTGGCTCTGGACTATCAGGTGTTTCTTCAGGCTACTGTGGACCCGTACGAGCAGAACGACATGCTCACGCTGGTGGGGTCTCGGCTGGTGTTTTCCCAGAAGAAGGGGCAGATGTTTGTGCGAGGGGAGGACTTAGAAGCGCACATGTCAAGCGTGCCAGAGGATCCGTTACGGAAGGCAGACGCATGGGTGAGAGAGGGGGGATCGGGTGGGATCGGGAGGGGGACAGGCGGGGGAGGGGAGGGCGGGCGGTGGGAGGGAGACGAGTTCCTCCGCGCACCTGCTATAGAGACGCCGGTTTTGGAGCTGGATATAAGGATAGACTGGGAGGTGGAGGGGAATGGGGACGCCTGTGCACATTATTTGCACGCGCTGCCAACAGAACCAGGCATGAGAACGGTTCTGTACGATCCGTTCCGGTCTGTGGGGATGAACTTCCGGTGGGACTGGCGGTTTTTGTCCAAGGAGCAGGCGAGGGTGATTCACAGCAAAGGGGAGAAGAGAGAGAAGAGCAGTGTGGGTGGTGGTGGGGTGAGGGTGGATCGGAGCAGCAGTGCCATTGATCTCCGGCCTGGTGGCCCCACTGCTGCTGCTGCTGGCGCTGCTAGTGCTGGCAGCGATGCTGCTGCTGCGGGTGCATCTGGTGTTTTGGGCAGGCACGCACATGGATCACCGGCAGGACCAGCCATACCGCGCTCCACCTCTCTGTCTTCTGCTTCGTTCTCCCGGGCCTCCTCCTCCCACCGCTTCCCCGACGACGAAGATTTCTTCTCGGGCAGCTCAACTGCCCACCGATCGGCGTCCAGCACCAGCGGCGGGTCGTTCTCGTCCGTTGGATTCGAACCCGGGGCTGAGTCAGCGTCAGGAGCGGGTTTGAGTGCAAGTGGGCGTTTGCAATCTCAGAGACACAGGAGAACGTCGTCAGGCAGTATGCCTTGGCATGTGGGAGCAGGGAATTGGGAAGGCGGAGGAGAAGGAGGGGGAGGAGGAGGTGGGGGTGCAGGTGCTGCCGTGGCTGGCGGTTTTGACAGCCCACGCATCGGAGGAGTAGGAATCGGAGCAAGCGGAGGAATCGGAGGAAGCGGAGGAATCGGAGGGATGGGAGGAGGGTTTGAGGTTACCGGGGGGGGAGTGCGCCAGCCGACGTTCAACCTGGCGAGCCACGACATCAAGTGGCTGTTCAAATTCTACAACCTCATGTACCTCTCCTCCCACAAGCTCCGGAACTTCGGCCGCCGCCGCTACGGCATCGCAAGGAAGCCCAAATCCGGCAACCTGAACCTCAGCCAGGTCATGTCTGAGATGCTCATCCGCCTGCATATCGCCCCGGGCGCGTGGCGGCATTATTCGTTCCGGAACCCGGACCCGGCGGAAGGGCTGGTGTTGCTGGTCGATGAGTTGGTGTATGAGTTGTGTTATAGCAGGAATTTGAAGGCTTGGGATGGGCAGTCAAGAAGGCCGAGCTTTAAGACGGCGCATACGGGGCTGGATGTTGTGCGGATGAGGATTGTAGTGGAGGAGCCTGGGAGTGGGGAGGGGGAAGGGGATGGGCAGGAGGGGAGTGGGGGGATGGAGGGTGGAGGAGGGGGAGGGGGAGTGGGGAGAGGGGGTGTTGGTGGGACGAGTGGGCGGGTTTTGGAAGGGGATGAAGCTTCTGAGAAGATTCTGGAGTTGTTGATGGGGGAGGATGAGGTGGGTGGGGGTGGAAGGGAGGGGATGTTGGGAGGGGTGGCGGAGGAAAGGAGCATACTGGGGAAAGGAATGGTTACCAGACGAAGCACCGGAGGCAGCAGCTTCGGATGGGGGGGAGGAGAGGGGTTGGGAGGGGGGGGAGGGGGAGGGGGACTGGGAGAGGAAGCAGGAGGTGGGGGGAGGGGCACGGGGGCAGCGGGATTCAGGAGCAGCAGCAGCGCAAGGGGAGGGATTGTGGGGGAAGGATGGACAAAGGCCGATCAGAGTTTCCTGATGTCGTGTGATGGGGTTATGATTCGCAAGCAGGCGCCTGACGGGAACGCGGAGCAGATTCAAAAGTGGCGCGTGGGGGAGGGATGGAAGGGATGGCTTATGGGGGCAGCGGGTGGTGGTGGGGAGGCGGGGGGAAGTGGAGCAGGAGGAGACGGCGAGGGGAGTAAGAAAGGCAGCAGCAGCCGGATTAGCGATTTTGAAGCGGAGGGGGAGGGCTTGGAGAGTGACGGGGACGGCTTGGAGAGTGACGGGGACGAGCGCGAGGAGGAGGAGGATGAGGAGGAGGAGGGTGGGGAGGGGGAGGACGAGGGGGAGGCGGAGCAAGATCTAGCTGACATCCTTGCTCTACTAGTAGCAGACGACTGCTGGAGGATCCTGGTTCCTGGGCTAAGGCTCCTCCTCACCATCCGCAACAGAGATGCTCTGTGGGCCTGGATGGCCGAATTCCAGCGCGGATTCGCGTCAGACAAGCCGTCCCCGTCGCGCCAGCTGGCGCAACGCAAGAGGCTGGAGGCGGCCGGGGGAGTCCCGCCGCCGGTGGTGGGGGCGGCGCTGGTGGCGGCGCAAGTGGCGGCTCAGATCGCCGCGGAGAAGGCGGAGAAGGAGGCAGCCAAGGCCGCTGCTGCTGCTGAGGCTGCTGCTGCGGCGGCAGCAGCGGCAGAAGCACAAGCAAAAGCGACGGGAGTGGCGGAGGGTGGACAGGCAGGACTGGGGGATGGTGTTGTTGGTGGTGGTGGTGCGGCCGGTGGTGGAGGAGGGGGAAAGGGAGGGGTGGGCGATGGGGCGGCGGGTATGGGGATGGAAGGAGAGGACGACAACTGCACGTTGAACTACATGATCAACATCATCCGGCCGCAGTTCAACTTCCACTCTGAAGATGCGCACGTGAGTTGGGAAACGCGTTTGTGAGCTGTGCGGCGTGAATAGCCTCTGTAGTTTCCCTCATGCCCTCATTTTTCCCTTCAAGTTCAGTAGGCTCCTCCTTGCTGCGTGTGTGCTTGCTCTTCCTTCAGCCCTCTGCAACGCACCACTCCACCCTTCTTCTGTCTCCACTTTCCTCTCCCATCCCCCCCTTCCCCCACCTCACCCAGGGTCAGTTCCTTCTAGCTGCCAAGAGCGGGCGTGTGCTCGCCCGCACCTTCCACTCAGTCTTTGCCGGGGCCATCGAAGCCCTCGCTGTCATCACTCCCTTCATCCTTCCCTCCCCCTACCCCTCCTCTATCCCTTCTTCAGGGTCGTTTCCTCCTCGCCGCCAAGAGCGGGCGTGTGCTCGCCCGCACCTTCCACTCAGTCTTTGCCGGGGCCATTGAAGCCCTCGCTGTCATCACTCCCTTCATCCTTCCCTTCCCCTACCCCTCCTCTATCCCTTCTTCAGGGTCGTTTCCTCCTCGCCGCCAAGAGCGGGCGTGTGCTCGCCCGCACCTTCCACTCAGTCTTTGCCGGGGCCATCGAAGCCCTCGCTGTCATCACTCCCTTCATCCTTCCCTTCCCCTACCCCTCCTCTATCCCTTCTTCAGGGTCGTTTCCTCCTCGCCGCCAAGAGCGGGCGTGTGCTCGCCCGCACCTTCCACTCAGTCTTTGCCGGGGCCATTGAAGCCCTCGCTGTCATCACTCCCCCTCCTCCTCCTCCTCCTCCTCCTCCTCCTTCCTCCTCCGCATCTACCTCCTCTGCGCCTCCTCCTCCTCCCCCCTCCTCCTCCATCTCCTCCTCTGCTCCGCCTGCTCTGTCCCTGACCAGCACCCCTCCCTCCACTGTGCCTCCCTCCCCTTCCTCCACCTCCAACGCGTCTACCTTATCCTCCTCCGCTCTTCCTCTCTCCGCCCTTAGTACTGCAGACTCCACTCCCCTTGTACCTGGGTCAGTTGCAGCTGGGGTTGCAGGAGCAGCGGGAGCAGGAGCGGCAGCAGAGCCAGTGGCAGCACCAGCAGTAGCAGGCAAAGGGGAAGGGACCGGGGTGGGAGTAGGGACAGGGTCAGGGTCAGGAGGAGCAGGAGCAGGAGCAGGGGCAGCAGCAGCAGCAGCAGCATCACCACTAGCAGCAGCAGTGCCATCCCTAGCCCCTCCACCACCGCACACGTCAGACATCATGCCAGGATTCGGTGATGACCTGGACACGATTCAGTGGAACAGGCACGAGCTGGCTGTCATGCTGGAGAACGTGCAGGCCTACGTGGCACCCACTGACGTGGACCTGACAGCTGGCGTGCAGTGGTTGGCCCACGTGCCCATGGGTGCCGGGAGGAGGGGAGGAGGGAGGGGTGGGAAGGGGAGGAGGAGGAGGGGTGGGGGGATGGTTGGGAGAGGGTCAGAAGGGAGTCTTGCTGGTGGTGCCACAAGTGGGGATGGTGACGGTGACGATGGCTATGGTGCTGCTGGTGCTGGGCCGAGCGGAGTGCTGTTGCTGGGAAGAGGGGCTGCTAGTAATGGGGATATGGAGGGCAATCACCTGTTGAAGCAGGTGTTTCAGCCGTGCACCATGTACCTGGAGTATACCCGATACAAGAGCGGGTCTCAGGGAGCCCAGGTGAGGGACACACAATAATGATGGGCACAAAACACCATGCACCTTCTGCACCATGTACCTGGAGCATACACGATACGAGAGCGGGTCTCAGGGAGCCCAGGTGAGGAATGTGTAGTGCACAGGACGCCCAGAACATGAGGATCATTACAGAAACACTGTGCTGTGCTGTCAGTGGTAAACAGGTGGGCTGCGGAGGTCTTTATGTCCATCAACTTGAACTGTGTCTTAGGACGACGAAGCAAACTCCATGAAATGAAAAATGAGAGAGCCTGGAAAGCTTGTGAGCTAGAGCGTATTAGAGAGCCAGATTGAACAGATCGCACAGGACGCCCAGAACACGAGGATCATAACAGAAACACTGTGCTGTCAGTGATTTTTGAGAATTCTCAAAAAACCGTGCACGTGCAGTATTACCTCTCCCTTTCTCGCTTTCTTTGTCTCTCCTTCACTGTCATTTGTTCCTATTGCCTCTGCATTGTCATTGCAGAAGAAGCCGCTGAAGGAAGTGAGTTTCAGTGTGCCCAACATCACGGCCACCATGACCTCCCAGCAGTTCCAGACGCTCACCGACATCATCATGAACCTTGCGCTCGCGCCCACGCCCAAGTGAGTTTCAAACCCCCCCACGTTCCAAGCTCCTTTCACTTCCAAACACGTGACCTCCCTTCACATGCACCCACGGTGCACTCTCCTCTCCTCCCGGAAACCCCTTCTCCTTCCCGTCCCCTCAACCCCCTCGCCCCTCCAATCCAGGCTGAAAAAGCCAAAAGTACGGCCCGATGCAGACGAGGATGAGGAGGAGGAAGAAGAATACGGATCCCACCCCGATGGAGTTCCCGAGGTGCTTTTGAGTCGACTCAAAAGCAGAATACGGATCCCACCCCGATGGAGTTCCCGAGGTGCTTTTGAGTCGACTCAAAAGCAGAATACGGATCCCACCCTGACGGAGTTCCCGAGGTGCTTTTGAGTCGACTCAAAAGCAGAATACGGATCCCACCCCGATGGAGTTCCCGAGGTGCCTTTGAGTCGACTCAAAAGCAGAATACGGATCCCACCCCGATGGAGTTCCCGAGGTGCTTTTGAGTCGACTCAAAAGCAGAATACGGATCCCACCCCGATGGAGTTCCCGAGGTGCTTTTGAGTCGACTCAAAAGCAGAATACGGATCCCACCCCGATGGAGTTCCCGAGGTGCTTTTGAGTCGACTCAAAAGCAGAATACGGATCCCACCCCGATGGAGTTCCCGAGGTGCTTTTGAGTCGACTCAAAAGCAGAATACGGATCCCACCCCGACGGAGTTCCCGAGGTGCTTTTGAGTCGACTCAAAAGCAGAATACGGATCCCACCCCGATGGAGTTCCCGAGGTGCTTTTGAGTCGACTCAAAAGCAGAATACGGATCCCACCCCGATGGAGTTCCCGAGGTGCTTTTGAGTCGACTCAAGAGCAGAATACGGATCCCACCCCGATGGAGTTCCCGAGGTGCTTTTGAGTCGACTCAAAAGCAGAATACGGATCCCACCCCGATGGAGTTCCCGAGGTGCTTTTGAGTCGACTCAAAAGCAGAATACGGATCCCACCCCGATGGAGTTCCCGAGGTGCTTTTGAGTCGACTCAAAAGCAGAATACGGATCCCACCCCGATGGAGTTCCCGAGGTGCTTTTGAGTCGACTCAAAAGCAGAATACGGATCCCACCCCGATGGAGTTCCCGAGGTGCTTTTGAGTCGACTCAAAAGCAGAATACGGATCCCACCCCGATGGAGTTCCCGAGGTGCTTTTGAGTCGACTCAAAAGCAGAATACGGATCCCACCCCGATGGAGTTCCCGAGGTGCTTTTGAGTCGACTCAAAAGCAGAATACGGATCCCACCCCGATGGAGTTCCCGAGGTGCCTTTGAGTCGACTCAAAAGCAGAATACGGATCCCACCCCGATGGAGTTCCCGAGGTGCTTTTGAGTCGACTCAAAAGCAGAATACGGATCCCACCCCGACGGAGTTCCCGAGGTGCTTTTGAGTCGACTCAAAAGCAGAATACGGATCCCACCCCGATGGAGTTCCCGAGGTGCCTTTGAGTCGACTCAAAAGCAGAATACGGATCCCACCCCGATGGAGTTCCCGAGGTGCTTTTGAGTCGACTCAAGAGCAGAATACGGATCCCACCCCGATGGAGTTCCCGAGGTGCTTTTGAGTCGACTCAAAAGCAGAATACGGATCCCACCCCGATGGAGTTCCCGAGGTGCTTTTGAGTCGACTCAAAAGCAGAATACGGATCCCACCCCGATGGAGTTCCCGAGGTGCTTTTGAGTCGACTCAAAAGCAGAATACGGATCCCACCCCGACGGAGTTCCCGAGGTGCTTTTGAGTCGACTCAAAAGCAGAATACGGATCCCACCCCGATGGAGTTCCCGAGGTGCCTTTGAGTCGACTCAAAAGCAGAATACGGATCCCACCCCGATGGAGTTCCCGAGGTGCTTTTGAGTCGACTCAAGAGCAGAATACGGATCCCACCCCGATGGAGTTCCCGAGGTGCTTTTGAGTCGACTCAAAAGCAGAATACGGATCCCACCCCGATGGAGTTCCCGAGGTGCTTTTGAGTCGACTCAAAAGCAGAATACGGATCCCACCCCGATGGAGTTCCCGAGGTGCTTTTGAGTCGACTCAAAAGCAGAATACGGATCCCACCCCGATGGAGTTCCCGAGGTGCTTTTGAGTCGACTCAAAAGCAGAATACGGATCCCACCCCGATGGAGTTCCCGAGGTGCTTTTGAGTCGACTCAAAAGCAGAATACGGATCCCACCCCGATGGAGTTCCCGAGGTGCTTTTGAGTCGACTCAAAAGCAGAATACGGATCCCACCCCGATGGAGTTCCCGAGGTGCTTTTGAGTCGACTCAAAAGCAGAATACGGATCCCACCCCGATGGAGTTCTCGAGGTGCTTTTGAGTCGACTCAAAAGCAGAATACGGATCCCACCCCGATGGAGTTCCCGAGGTGCTTTTGAGTCGACTCAAAAGCAGAATACGGATCCCACCCCGATGGAGTTCCCGAGGTGCTTTTGAGTCGACTCAAAAGCAGAATACGGATCCCACCCCGATGGAGTTCCCGAGGTGCTTTTGAGTCGACTCAAAAGCAGAATACGGATCCCACCCCGATGGAGTTCCCGAGGTGCTTTTGAGTCGACTCAAAAGCAGAATACGGATCCCACCCCGATGGAGTTCCCGAGGTGCTTTTGAGTCGACTCAAAAGCAGAATACGGATCCCACCCCGATGGAGTTCCCGAGGTGCTTTTGAGTCGACTCAAAAGCAGAATACGGATCCCACCCTGACGGAGTTCCCGAGGTGCTTTTGAGTCGACTCAAAAGCAGAATACGGATCCCACCCCGATGGAGTTCCCGAGGTGCCTTTGAGTCGACTCAAAAGCAGAATACGGATCCCACCCCGATGGAGTTCCCGAGGTGCTTTTGAGTCGACTCAAAAGCAGAATACGGATCCCACCCCGATGGAGTTCCCGAGGTGCTTTTGAGTCGACTCAAAAGCAGAATACGGATCCCACCCCGATGGAGTTCCCGAGGTGCTTTTGAGTCGACTCAAAAGCAGAATACGGATCCCACCCCGATGGAGTTCCCGAGGTGCTTTTGAGTCGACTCAAAAGCAGAATACGGATCCCACCCCGACGGAGTTCCCGAGGTGCTTTTGAGTCGACTCAAAAGCAGAATACGGATCCCACCCCGATGGAGTTCCCGAGGTGCTTTTGAGTCGACTCAAAAGCAGAATACGGATCCCACCCCGATGGAGTTCCCGAGGTGCTTTTGAGTCGACTCAAGAGCAGAATACGGATCCCACCCCGATGGAGTTCCCGAGGTGCTTTTGAGTCGACTCAAAAGCAGAATACGGATCCCACCCCGATGGAGTTCCCGAGGTGCTTTTGAGTCGACTCAAAAGCAGAATACGGATCCCACCCCGATGGAGTTCCCGAGGTGCTTTTGAGTCGACTCAAAAGCAGAATACGGATCCCACCCCGATGGAGTTCCCGAGGTGCTTTTGAGTCGACTCAAAAGCAGAATACGGATCCCACCCCGATGGAGTTCCCGAGGTGCTTTTGAGTCGACTCAAAAGCAGAATACGGATCCCACCCCGATGGAGTTCCCGAGGTGCTTTTGAGTCGACTCAAAAGCAGAATACGGATCCCACCCCGATGGAGTTCCCGAGGTGCTTTTGAGTCGACTCAAAAGCAGAATACGGATCCCACCCCGATGGAGTTCCCGAGGTGCCTTTGAGTCGACTCAAAAGCAGAATACGGATCCCACCCCGATGGAGTTCCCGAGGTGCTTTTGAGTCGACTCAAAAGCAGAATACGGATCCCACCCCGACGGAGTTCCCGAGGTGCTTTTGAGTCGACTCAAAAGCAGAATACGGATCCCACCCCGATGGAGTTCCCGAGGTGCCTTTGAGTCGACTCAAAAGCAGAATACGGATCCCACCCCGATGGAGTTCCCGAGGTGCTTTTGAGTCGACTCAAGAGCAGAATACGGATCCCACCCCGATGGAGTTCCCGAGGTGCTTTTGAGTCGACTCAAAAGCAGAATACGGATCCCACCCCGATGGAGTTCCCGAGGTGCTTTTGAGTCGACTCAAAAGCAGAATACGGATCCCACCCCGATGGAGTTCCCGAGGTGGAGGCGGCAGAGGTGAAAGCAGAGGTGGCGCAGCGGGCAGTGAACGCGCTCATCCAGGACCTCTGGAGCACTGCCGCTCTCACCGCCTCCAGGGTTCACGGGCCTGAGCTGGCTCATCCAGGACTCCTGAAGGAGAGGAGTACGGGTCTTGACACTTGTGTTCCCTTCCTTCCAACCCCCCCTCCCCCTCTCCCCTTCAACCAGGTTGAAGAAGCCAAAAGTGCGGCCCGATGCAGACGAGGACGAGGAGGAAGAGGAGGAGTATGGGTCGCGCCCCGACGGAGTTCCCGAGGTGGAGGCGGCAGAGGTGAAGGCAGAGGTGGCGCAGCGGGCAGTGAACGCGCTCATCCAGGACCTCTGGAGCACTGCCGCTCTCACAGCCTCCAGGGTTCACGGGCCTGAGCTGGCGTTTGCTGGCAGCTGGGACGGAGGGGGAGGAGGCGGAGGGGGGAATGCGGGTGTGTTTGGGTCGGGGCGGCTGGTTCTGGAGGAGGAGGATCCGACCCACAAGAGCCTTGTGCTCGCGCCACCCATGGTGCTGGTGAGTGTGTTGTTCCCCTGGTGAGGTGAGTGTGTCGTTGGTGTTCATGCTTAACCAAGCATGCCTGTTGTGCCTTGCAAACCGTTGCCCTTTCTCCAACTTGGCCCTCCCGATCTTCATAACCTCCCTTTCTTTCCCTCCCCCCTGCGCTGGGTGCCGCATTGACGGGAAGAGCATTTCGTGCATAGAGCTGACTTGGTGGAGGCATTTAAAACGGTTAACAAGGGAGAGTGTTCCGTGTGCAGAGCTGACTGACTGACTTGGTGGAGGCATTTAAAACGGTTAACAAGGGAGAGTGTCCCGTGTGCAGAGCTGACTGACTGACTTGGTGGAGGCATTTAAAATGGTTAACAAGGGAGAGTGTCCCGTGTGCAGAGCTGACTGACTGACTTGGTGGAGGCATTTAAAACGGTTAACAAGGGAGAGTGTCCCGTGTGCAGAGCTGACTGACTGACTTGGTGGAGGCATTTAAAACGGTTAACAAGGGAGAGTGTCCTGTGTGCAGAGCTGACTGACTGACTTGGTGGAGGCAATTTAAACGGTTAACAAGGGAGAGTGTCCCATGTGCAGAGCTGACTGACTGACTTGCTCGCAGCTTCGGGAACATTTAGTTTCTGAAACGTCTACTTCTTGATTTTCCATTCTGAAACGTCTGCTTCTGCTTTTCCCTCTCATCCACAGGTCGCTGCTCTCAAAGGAGAGTACCTCGTGCGCAGAGCTTACCTGCGGGCGGCGAGGCAGGAGTGCCGGGCGGCGGTGGGGCGGGCGGCGCGGCAGCAGCGGGAGAAGCAGAAGCAGCCATCGTCGGCAGTGGCGGTTATCTGGACCATCGACCGCGCGGCATGGTCGCTGCTGAGTGATGGGCATGTGTTTGCAGAGGCTGAGATCCAACACATGGTGAGTGGCTGACAAGGGTGGGGGAGGGGGGTAGAGGGCGATGGAGGGGATGGGGTTGGGCACTGAGTGATGGGCATGTGTTTGCAGAGGCAGAGATCCAACACATGGTGAGTGGCTGGCTGGGGCAGTTTTTTTTTTTTTTTTTTTTTTTTAGCAACTCCTTTGTGTCTCTCACCTCTCTTTTCCTCCTTCCTTCCCCTTATGCGCCACATCAGCTCCTGAACGTGGACAGGGACTTCAATGACATAGGCATGGCGTGCTTTGTCATCAAGTCCATTGCAGTGCAACTATTTGGTCTCCGCCCTTTCTCACTTCCCCGTCCACGTCCCCCCTTTCCCACACTGCTTTCCCCACTCACCATCTGCCCTCCACCACCACATCAGCTCCTGAATGTGGACAGGGATTTCAACGACATAGGCATGGCGTGCTTTGTCATCAAGTCCATTGCAGTGCGCAACTGCCTGCCTCAAGCCAAGTCACGCCTCGTCCTCTCCGCCTGGAACCCCCCTCCCGACTGGTCTCGGTCAGTGCCTGCCCTACAGTCCCCCCCCTTTCACTGCCCACATTTCGTTTCCCGTCCCCCACTCCTATAAGCCAAGTCACGCCTCGTCCTCTCCGCCTGGAACCCCCCTCCCGACTGGTCTCGGTCAGTACCTGCCCTACAGTCCCCCCCCTTTCACTGCCCACATTTCGTTTCCCGTCCCCCACTCCTATAAGCCAAGTCACGCCTCGTCCTCTCCGCCTGGAACCCTCCTCCTGACTGGTCTTGGTCAGTGGCCGCCTTCAGTCTCCGCATTCCCCCCCACCCCCCACATGCCACACACACGCCATATATCTCTAATGTCCGTTCTCAGAACCTCATTTAGGAATTTGGTTGTGGTTCCTTTCCCCGTCAGTCCCCATGCCGTCCTCCTCTTGTCCCCCCTTCTCCCATTTCACTCCCATGCCCTGCGTGCTGTAGCCATGCCAAGATTTGAGTTGTCCCCTCCTTCCTCCTCTTCGCCCCCATCTTCTGTGATCTGCAATCCTCCGTCTTCCCTCATCCTCCCCCCACGTGCCCTGCATGTCACAGACATGCCATGATTCGAGTGGTGGGCAAGATAGGCAAGCCTGTGGACGGTGTCTCTTTCAATTCCCCCCTCCTCGCGCATCCTCGCATGTTGCACCCATGACACGATTCCTGTTCCTTCTCCCGCTTCCCCTCATCCTCCCCCCACGTGCCCTGCATGTCACAGACATGCCATGATTCGAGTGGTAGGCAAGATAGGCAAGCCTGTGGACGGCGTCTCACCCATTGAAACCTTTGAGGTGAGATGACATGAAACGACTGAGTGAGATGAAATGAAACGCCTGAGTGAGATGAAACGAAACGCTTGAGTGAGATGAAATGAAACGACTGAGGTGAGATGAAATGAAACGACTGAGGTGAGATGAAATGAAACGACTGAGGTGAGATGAAATGAAACGACTGAGGTGAGATGAAATGAAACGACTGAGGTGAGATGAAATGAAACGACTGAGTGAGATGAAACGCCCCAGGTGAGATGAAACGCCAACAGTTCTGCATGGAATTTACTGCCTGTTGCTATTTCTCTCTGCCTCTGCCGACGAGGTCTCCCCCCCACCACTGCGCATCTACCTGCCAGAGGAGATGTGGGCTGCTGGGAGGCATTACAATGAAGTAATACTTTGCTCACTGATTGAGCATGTGTATGCATGCATACGTGTGCATGAAGGTGGAGGTATACCCGCTGCGCATCTACCTGACAGAGCAGATGTACCGAGTGGTGTGGGACATGATGCATCACACTTTAACTCACCATGTGAACATGTGTGCGTGTGTCCGTGCCTGTGTGTGTGTGAGAAGGTGGAGATCTACCCGCTGCGCATCTACCTGGCAGAGCAGATGTACCGAGTGGTGTGGGACATGATGCATCACACTTTAACTCACCTTGTGAACATGTGTGCGTGTGTCCGTGCCTGTGTGTGTGTGTGAGAAGGTGGAGATCTACCCACTGCGCATCTACCTGACAGAGCAGATGTACCGAGTGGTGTGGGACTACCTCTTTGCCAAGGAGCCAGACGAGCAGCTCAGGAAGCAGGTCAGCTCCTTATACCCCTTGGTACCTCGTGATACCTCATAAAACCTCTCGAAACCACTTGATACCGCATGTTACTGTTTGAGGCATGGGGCCCGTAGCCCTCCTAGTGAAGCAGAAGGGCAAGCGGCGCTCTACTGCTCCCGACACCACCTCCTCTTCTGTACCTCTACTTCTCCCGGTGCCATTTCCTCTTCTGTACCTCTACTTCTCCTGGTGCCATTTCCTCTTCTGTACCTCTACTGCTGTTGGCAGCGCTGGTGGGATCTTGATACTTCAGTCAATTCAAACCTCACCTTCTTTCCTCTGTCTTTTCTTCCCTATTTCCCTTTCCTGCTTCATCATCCCCCAGGAGATGTGGGGTCCTGTGGCTCTCCCAGTGAAGCAGAAGGACAAGCGCCGCTCCACTGCTCTCGGCACCTCCCCCTCCTCTGCCGCTACCAGCAGTGCTGGCGGGGGAACTCGATTATTTAGCCAACTCAACCCCCCCTTCCTCTTCCCCCTGTCTTCCCCCCACACGCCCACACCCCCCCCTCCCTCCTCCCCCCCCCCCCCCCCCCGCACTCCCCCCACCTTGTCATCCCCCAGGAGATGTGGGGTCCTGTGGCGCTCCCAGTGAAGCAGAAGGACAAGCGCCGCTCCACTGCTCCTGACACCCTCTCCTCCTCTTCCGCTGCTGGAGGTGCTGCTGGAGGAAGTTTCCCCGCGTCAGCGACTGTTGGGGCCGCGGGTGGTGGAGGAGGGGGGAGGAAGGGCGCGGAGGAGCCTCGCTTGAAGCACCAGTCGTCGGCTCCGCCCTCTGCTCTGGTGGTTGAAGAGACTGTGAGTTTTTCAGGGTTTGAGACGTCTCAACACTCGGGTGTGGGGGCGTGGGGGAGGAAGGGGATCGAGTGAATTCGTCTATTGAAGCGTCAGTTTTCGGCTCTGCCCTCTGCTCTGGTGGCTGAAGAGATCATAATTCGTCTAAGTCACCCGAATCTGAGACCTTCAAGTCTCGCTCTCGCTCGCTCGCTCTCTCTTTTGTCCTCGATCTAGACGCCTTTATACTATGCATCCCGCCCCCACCCACCCCAACCCCCTCCTATCTCTCTGTTCGTTGCTTACCTGACGTTTCCTGGTCTCCAGACTTAAGTTCTTCTCCCTTCTCCGTGTTTTTTTCTCCTCGCAATCTGCGGCTTCCTGCGGTCGAAACTCGTTTGGTTCTCGGCCAAATTCTTCGTTCTTTCCTCAGAATTCTATTAATCTTCTTCAACCTCGTACCAGAGAGGGGGGCATCCTCCCTTCCTCTATCCCCTCCCTATTTTTGAGTCGACTCAAAAGTCAACTCGAGAGGGGGGCATCCTCCCTTCCTCTATCCGCTCCCTATTTTCATACCCGTTCCCCTCCCCCCCCCCCCTTCCCCTTCATCACTTAACCCCCCTTCCCCACCTTCCCCTCCTTTTTCCCCTTTCTCCTCCCCTCCCTCCCTGCCCTTGATCCCAATTTCTCAGCCACCTCTATTCCCTCCCTGCTTCCCCTCCTTCTCCCCTTCCCCCCCTCGTCGGTCTACCACTGACATCATCAACTCCACCGGCTCTGCCCCCGGCTCGCTCCGCACCTCCCTCGCTCCCATCCCTCCCCTCCCTCGATCCCAATGAGCCACATCTAGCCCCTCTCTACTTTCCCTCCCTCCTGTTCCCCCCGTCCCCACCTCACCCGCGCCGGGCTACCACGGACAGCTTCACCTCCACCGGCTCTGCTCTCAGCCACCTCTACCTCCTCCCTCTTTTGCCTCCTTTCCCCCCTTCCCCCCACCAGCCCCGGTCCACAACGGACAGCTTCACCCCACCGGCTCTGCCCCCGGCTCCCTCCCCTGCTTCTCCTCCTTGATCCCCAATGTCCCAACCGCCTCTCTCCCGTCCCTACTTTCCCTCCCTCCCCACCTCCCCACCAGCGCCGGTCCACAACGGACAGCTTCACCTCCACCGGCTCTGCCCCCGGCTCCTCCTTCCTCCCTTCCTGCCTTCCTCCCTTCCTCCTTTCCTCCCTTCCTCCCTTCCTCCCTTCCTCCTTCCTCCCTTCCTCCCTTCCTCCTTCCTCCTTCCTCCCTTCCTCCCTTCCTCCCTTCCTCCCTTCCTCCCTTCCTCCCTTCCTCCCTTCCTCCCTTCCTCCCTTCCTCCCTTCCTCCCTTCCTCCTTCCTCCCTTCCTCCCTTCCTCCCTTCCTCCCTTCCTCCCTTCCTCCCTTCCTCCTTTCCTCCCTTCCTCCCTTCCTCCCTTCCTCCCTTCCTCCCTTCCTCCCTTCCTCCCTTCCTCCCTTCCTCCCTTCCTCCCTTCCTCCCTTCCTCCCTTCCTCCCTTCCTCCCTTCCTCCCTTCCTCCCTTCCTCCCTTCCTCCCTTCCTCCCTTCCTCCCTTCCTCCCTTCCTCCCTTCCTCCCTCCCCTCCGCCTCCACCTCCCCTTTCCCCGCCTCAGCCTCGCCCTTCCACCCGTCCCTCCCCCCACCACGCTCCCCTCTGCCCTCCTACTCGGCTATTCACTCTCAGAGCAGCCCTACCTTCCGAGTTCACGCAAGTGCCTTCTCAGCATATCAATAACCTCCTTCCCCCCTTTCCCATCTTCCCCCTCTTCCCCCTCTTCCCCCACCAGCGCCGGTCCACCACGGAAAGTTTCACCTCCACCGGCTCTGCCCCCGGCTCCTTCCCTTCGAACCCCTCGCTTTCCTCCTTCCACCCTTCCTCGCTCCCCTCCGCCTCCACCTCCCCCTTCCCCTCCTCCGCCTCCCCTTTCCACCCGTCCCTCCCCCCGCCGCGCTCCCCTCTGCCCTCCTACTCGGTTATCCGTTCTCAAAGCAGCCCTACATTCCGAGCCCATGCAAGTGCCTTCTCAGCAGACCGATACCCCATTGCTGCTTCTGCAGCTGCTGGTGCTTCTGGTGCTGCGATTTCCGGTGCTGCTGCGGACAGTGATGCTGCTGCGAGTGGATACTCTGGTGCTGCTGGTGGGAATGCTTTCTCTTCAGGTCCTTCCACTGGCCTGCTTCATGCCCCTCCAATCACTCACTCCTCATCGGCCCCTCTCCCCTTGGCGAACCCCTATGGTAGAGCTGCTAGTAGTGCTGGGCTAGGGTACAGAGGAGGAGGCAGGGGTGGAGGAATGGGCGGGTCTGTGGCAGGGAAAGGTTTAAGTTTGGAGGGGATTCGAGAGGGGGGGGAGAAGGATGGGGCGGGAGCGAGTGAGAAGAAGAAGGGGAGGGATAAGAAGGAGCTGGAGGAGAAGAGGAAACTGAAGGCAGAGGAGAGGGTGGCAATGAGGGAGAGGGAGAAGAGGGAGCTGCTGGAGAAGAGGAGGATGAGGATGGAGCAGAAGGAGGAGGAGAGGAGGAAGAAGCTAGCACTGGAGGAGCAAAGGAGGACGAGGAGACAAGCGGTTTATATTCAGAACCTCAAGTTCAGCCAGGTATGGGTGATTGCGTCAGCCAGGTATGAGTGATTGTGTCAGCCAAGTATCGTCCTCGCATCAACTCGTTTGTCCGAACAGAGCTGGCCTTGGAGAAACCCTCTCCTCACCTCCTCTTCCCTTGTCTGCCCTGCTTCCTTGACCCCCCCCATCAGGTGGAGCTGCTGATCACATACGAGGGGTACCCTGTCTCAGTCACTGACCTGCGCCTGCGTCAGTCACTGACCTGCGTCTCCTCATGGACACGTTTGCCCGCACCGAGTACACGGGGCCGTGATGCCGTGAGATCCGGGCTAACAACGTTGCCCCCTTCCCCTCTCCCCCCGTCAGGTGGAGTTGCTGATCACTTACGAGGGCTATCCTGTCTCAGTCACGGATCTCCGTCTCCTCATGGACACGTTCGCCCGCACCGAGTACACGGGGCCATGGCGCCGGCTCTTCTCGCGGCTAAGGAAGCACGTCATCTGGGGCGTGCTCAAGTCTGTCACAGGCATGCAGGTGAGAACGGCATAATTGCACCGCGCCGCTGCACCGCACTGCGCTGCACTGCACCGAGTACACGGGGCCGTGGCACCGGCTCTTCTCGCGGCTAAGGAGGCATGTCATATGGGGGGTGCTCAAGTCTGTCACAGGCATGCAGGTGAGAATCGATCAACTGTAGAATCGCATTACTGCACTGCACCGCTCCAACACTGCACTGCACTGTAGTAACTCACCGAGTACACGGGGCGGTGGAGCCGGTTCTTCTCTCGGATTATGAAGCATGTCGTCTGGGGGGTGCTCAAGTCTGTCACAGGCATGCAGGTAACTCCATCAACTGTAAAATTGCATTGCCGCAATGCATCGCACTGCGCCGCACTGTAATCCACCGAGTACACGGGACCGTGGTGCCGGCTCTTCTCGTGGCTAGGAAGCATGTCATCTGGGGTGTGCTGAAATCAGTCACGGGCATGCAGGTGAGTGTGAGTGTGTGACCGTGATCCGCCTTACCGCACAAAATGCACGGAGTAAACAGGCTGTGGCGACCCCTGCTCTCACAGTAAACAGGCTGTGGCGACCCCTGCTCTCACAGTAAACAGGCTGTGGCGACCCCTGCTCTCACAGTAAACAGGCTGTGGCGACCCCTGCTCTCACAGTAACAGGCTGTGGCGACCCCTGCTCTCACAGTTTTGCGGGCATGTCATCCGGGGCGTGCTTTGATCTGGTCACAGGCAGGCATGCATGTGAGCTTATGAGGTTATGACTGTAAGCCGTATTACCGCACTGCACCACATTGCACTGTATGGGGTGTAGGAGAGCCGTGGGTGCAGCTTCTTTTCTCACATTATCTGCGCCACCCCGCACCACACTTCGCGGAGTGCAAGGGAGCGGTGGCTGCAGCAACAGCAGCAGAGGTAGCCGTGTTAAAAGGTATTTATTCCAGCTCCATAAACCCGTTTCAAACCCAGCACCCCATTCCTCTTCTGCCTTTCTTCCTTTTCTCCCTTCTCCTTTTGTCATTCCCAGGGCCGCAAATTCAAGGATGCACATTTGCAAGCAGGCAGCAGCAGCATCACCACAAGCACCCCATCCAAGTCGCAAGCAGCAGCGGCCGCAGCAGCAGCAGCAGAGATGGCAGAGAGTGACAGTGATGACGAAAGCGCACCAGCAGGGGGGGTATCAGGGTCTGGGGTGGATGGGAAGGCTGGCAGGAAAATGCCCGCAGGAGCAGGGGCAGGAGGAGGGGCAGGCGGGGGAGGAGGAGGGGGAGGAGGGGATGGGTTGGGCGACGGGAGTTATGGTGTGAGCGTGGGGGCAGGAGGGGGAAGGGTGGGTGTGTCAGAGGCAGGTTCTGCTGTTCCTAGTGCTGCGGCCACTGCTGCGAGTGGTAGCAACAGCAGCGCACACATGGGCAATGCGGGCATCACCAGTAGCAGTTCAGGGGAAGGCTCGTTTGCACCAGGAACAGGCTCTGCTGCTGCTGGTACTGCTGCCGTCCTTGCCACTGCTGCTACTGCTGCTGGTGCTGCTCCTGGTGGCAGTACCACCGGCGTGAGTGGCGGCAGTAGCAGCAGCGGCAGCAGTGGCAGTGGCAGTGGTAGCACGGCAGCTGGTTCTGGTGCTGGTTCCCTGCCGGTGGGAGGAGGCGGGGCGTCCATGCTGCTGGCTCGGCTGGGGAACAAGGGGGAGCGCATGGGAGATGGGTTTGTGTCGTCGGTTAAAGGGCTGTTTAAGGACCAGCTGGGCCGAGCCAAGCATGTGCTTAAGAGCAAAGAGCAGCAGCAGCAGCAACAACAACAGGCACATCACCACCACCACCACCGGCATCATCAGCAGCACCAGCAGCAAAAGCAGCAGAAGCAGCAGGTGGAGGAGGAGAAAGGAGGAGGTGCGGGGAGGAGTGGAGAGGAGGGTGATCTTGGTGGTGAGAGTGGATTGGTGAAGGGAGAGGGGAGTGGGGGGTCTCCTGTGGTGCCTACAAGGAGTGGAGAGGTGGAGAAGGAGAAGGAGAAAGGGATGAGCTCACTGGTTGCGAAGGGACAAGCTTTGGTGCCTAAGCTGTGGACTCCAAAACAGAGTGCAGGTATGTGAGGTGGAGTGTACCTAGATTGAGACAGGGAGTGGCAAGGAAGAGTGGGAGAAGGAGAAAGGAATGAGCTCACTGGTTGCGAAGGGACAGACTTTGGTGTCTAAGCTGTGGACTGCAAAACAGAGTGCAGGTATGTGAGGTGGAGTGAGCAAGGATAAGATTGAGCTGGAGGTGTGGGACCTTGTGATTGGTCATATGAAGGTGCGTTTTGCGAAGCTAATTTGAGCAAGGCAGAAACAAAGCATCCAAGAGGCTTCTTTTCTTTCTCTTTTGCATCCGCAAGTCATTGATTCAACCCGTTTCGTTATTTTGTTCTGTTTCAATGGTTTTCCTTCTGAGCCTACCGTATGTTGTATGTTTCAGCTCCAGGTCGCGTTGATGAAGCCATCCCGGAGGTGCCTGAAAATGGAGCTGCATCAGAGTCCACTAGTGGAGCAATTGGTACTGCTATGGAGAAGGGCACAACTTGATGGTCTGTCCATGTAGTAATCTATGGCTTCTATCACTAAGTTCGTTCCCAGTTCACTTGCTCTATGCACACTAATGATGCTGCTGTGGTAGATATAGTGTTGTAGCAATGTCAACCACGAACTGACTACCACTAACAAATGACCTGCAAAACACATCAGCTGTACTGTGCACTTCTTTCTTCGTCTATATATTCTTCTCGTTCTTAATGCAGCAATTTGTAGCAATATACCGTCAACCACAAACGAGCATGGCGGTGATCCACGAATTGATCCAAGTGAGCTATCCAATTCGCAACCAGAGAATTCCAGTTTCGGTTCTACGATTCGGAAAATTGTTGCGATCACATCTCAGTCTCGGCAATCAACAGATCCGTCGCTGGATCACTCCTCGTCATGGCTGCCAAAGGCCAAGTCCGTAAGCTGCTTCGCTATCGTCCTCTATAACTTGTGTCCATTCGGCGGCTCCGTGTCTCATGATCTCCCTACTCGGTTGACAGGCTGATTTATTGGACTGCATAGACTGGCCATCAGTGGAGTGCCTGAATGCAAAACCTGGGAGGAGTGTAGATAATGCAATCAAGCAGGTCAGTTTCTTTAGCAGATACTTTCGAGGATCGTGATTCTTCAGCCGTTGCACGTCGAGACGCACCTCGAGTTTCTTTTTTACGTTCGCAGGGATATAGAGAGGACGATGGTTTGTTTTTGGAGAGCGACGTCGATGAGCAACTACTGGTCTACGTCCCATTCAACCAAGTAGTCAAGCTTCATTCGATTGTGATCAAGGGTCCCGAAGAAGAAGGTACGAATTCCGCGACCGCGTGGTGTTTTTTCTTCAACCCTCAAATACGATTCATATTTCATCTTGGCGCTCGCAGGACCCAAATGCATAAAGCTCTACTCAAACAGGCCGAACATGGGATTCAGGTAGGATTATAAGACATTTTTGTTTTCACTCTTAATCTGTTATCGTTTCATCGAAGTCTGAGAAAGGTATCTCGTATGACGCAGCAATGTGAGCGACATACCGCCGAGTGACACCATCAATCTTACAGCTGATCAGGTTCAGGTGAGAAAGGGTCTTTTTTTTTGCATCTATATTGTTTAAAGGGCTTTGTGTGATGTGTAGATTTATCATCATAGTAACTTGACATTGCAGGAAGGGAAGGCAACACCTTTGAAATATGTGAAGTTTCAAAATGTCAGAAGGTAATACCTGAACTTTCAGCCTTCGAAGTTACATGCTTATAAGCTATCTCTTACAGTTTTTCCCCTTCGCAGTCTTACTATATTCATCGAGAGCAACCAGTCGGGTGATGATGTCACTAAGGTTCAGAAGTTGGCCATACTTGGAAGCACGTGAGTACACTAACTCGTTCCAGCCCCGCTGACTGCCCCTGTTATTCTCTTCCTTATTGAGGTGCCTTCATTTCAATTGAGATTTAACGTCATCCCATTTGTATGCAGGGTTGAGACCACCAATATGAAAGACCTGAAGAAAATTGATGATAAACAAGGCTAAAATTGGCACATAGTAACAGACGGCAGCTTGGTAGGTGTTGGGCTGAATGCCTTTCCTCAACAGTAGAAGCTTGCATTGGAGGGCATGCAGGTCCATTATGTGAAAAACATGATCTGTATAGAAAGTTATTCTTGTGCCCTCTTTTACGGAGATAAAGTAAGACACTGAGTGTGAAGAGGGAGGGTGAGGGACGGGAAAGGTGAGTGAGTAAGGGAGTAATTTATGACTGGATTGACAAAATTGGACCACTACCTGGTGAAAGTGGTGGTTTTTTTTTGTCAAAGGTTGCCTTCTCCAGTTTCACGTTTCTCCAACGGAGGGTGAGACAGATTATCTAGTCTCACGATTCTCCAACGGAGGGTGAGAGACGGGAAGAGAATTGAAACATCTATGATCCGCATTCGGTTTCGTTTGCATTTCTCCAACTGGGCCAGGCTTAGTTTTGTGGGCGCAGCCATTTCTGTTAGACCACAACCACCATGGAGCGAAATAGCAGATGTTGATTTATTACTGAAACAAAATACAAGTCTGGCGCAAGGGTGCAAACTATACAATCTAGTACTCCTCGTTCTCATCATCACCGGGCTCGGTGGAGTCAGCACCGACTTCCTCGTAGTCCTTCTCGAGCGCAGCCAGGTCCTCACGGGCCTCAGAGAACTCGCCCTCCTCCATGCCCTCACCGACATACCAGTGCACGAATGCACGCTTCGCGTACATGAGGTCGAACTTGTGGTCGATCCGGCTGAAGACCTCTGCCACGGAAGTGGAGTTGGAGATCATGCACACAGCACGCTGCACCTTGGCGAGATCGCCACCAGGCACCACGGTGGGAGGCTGGTAGTTGATACCGCACTTGAATCCAGTAGGGCACCAGTCGACGAACTGGATGGTCCTCTTGGTCTTGATGGTAGCAACGGCGGCGTTGACATCCTTGGGGACGACGTCTCCACGGAACATCAGGCAGCAGGCCATGTACTTGCCGTGGCGAGGATCGCACTTGGCCATCATGCTTGAAGGCTCGAACGCGCTGTTGGTGATCTCAGCAACGGACAGCTGCTCGTGGTAAGCCTTCTCGGCGGAGATGACCGGAGCGTAGGAGGACAGCATAAAGTGGATGCGAGGGTAGGGCACCAGGTTGGTCTGGAACTCAGTCACGTCCACGTTCAGAGCGCCGTCGAAGCGGAGGGAGGCAGTCAGGGAAGAAATGACCTGAGACACGAGACGGTTCAGGTTCGTGTAGGTGGGACGCTCGATGTCCAGGGAGCGGCGGCAGATGTCGTAGATGGCCTCGTTGTCGAGGAGAACGGCGACATCGGTGTGCTCCAGGAGCGAGTGGGTGGAGAGCACGGAGTTGTACGGCTCAACCACGGAGGTCGACACCTGAGGAGACGGGTAGACGGTGAAGCCGAGCTTGGACTTCTTGCCGTAGTCCACGGACAGGCGCTCCAGGAGGAGGGAGCCGAGACCGGAACCGGTACCACCGCCAACGGCGTTGAAGACCAGGAATCCCTGGAGACCAGTGCAGTTGTCAGCAAGCTTGCGGATGCGGTCAAGGCAGAGGTCAACGATCTCCTTGCCAACTGCGATAAAAAAACGTAGGATAAAAGGAACGATTAGTAACAGATTCAAGTTTCAAAAATGGAATCACTGAGAAAAATAGATTGTCAATATTAAATACGAATTACATACGAAGACACGTGGAGGAGGCGAGTCACTTACTGGTGTAGTGACCACGGGCGAAGTTGTTTGCAGCATCCTCCTTGCCGGAGATGAGCTGCTCGGGGTGGAACAGCTGCCTGTAGGCACCGGTCCTGACCTCGTCAATCACAGTCGGCTCCAGATCGAGGAACACAGCACGAGGGACGTGCTTGCCAGCGCCAGTCTCGCTGAAGAAGGTGTTGAAGGCGTCATCGCCTCCTCCGCAGGTCTTCTCGCCGGTCATAAGCTGGCCATCAGGCTGGATGCCATGCTCCAGGCAGTAGAGCTCCCAGCAGGCGTTGCCGACCTGGATACCGGCCTGGCCGATGTGGACGGAGATGCACTCACGCATGGTGGCGAAGTTAGTATTCAAAAATCTACAAGGGTTCTGAGGGCTAAGGAAAGCTAGAAGGCTAGAAGGCGAAAAGCTCAAAGGCTCTCGTGTGACGATATCAGGTCGTCAACACTCGATGCGTGAAGATGGTATGGTTCTGGGGAGGTTATATAATCCTCGTCACATGTAAGCCAGCAGACACAGGAGGCTGGATGAGAGTTTCTCCCTGACAGGCTGTGTGCCCCAGATCTGAATTCAGGAGGCAAACCTCGGTGGTTTGGTAAATTCCGAACCAAGACAGTCTGGTACAATCCCTAAGCAAACGGGAAACCATACCTACGCGGGAGCCGTGGAAATATTCCCAACACGGGCAGATCCCAAAGCGTCCGAGCTTCGGAAGAACTCGAGGCTGTCATGGCCCAATCTCGATGGGCTTTTCCACTGGTCAAAGCGGCATACTGAAATTCCTGAAGCACGAACCGCGGAGATAACGCGGGAACCCGCTGACATGTGTCAGGGACATTGGCGCGGAGAAATCCACTCACACACTGGATGGCGGGGTTACTGCATTCGCGAGCTTCGTGCAACGGAAAAATCAAGGCTGGCTGGGAGCTGATTGGAAGTGCCTGACCTCGGTCTTGGCGGGAAAAAGGGTCTCTGGTTGTGGAGAGCATAGATGTGTTATGAGTGCAATTGAGTGAACGAACGAGAATTGCACTATCGAAGCAAGAGTCCAATCAGCGAAGGCATGAGAGAAGAATATATAGCGAAACTACAGTGGTAACGGTAATGGACTCTGGTTGTCGCGCGACGGGCCTGGGACTGAGGTTGGGAAAAGTGTCGAAGCGGAGGCCCGGAGTGCGGGTTACCCGCCGAGCCGTGAGGTCGGGGTGCGACGTGCGAAGGTGGCGGGCGGATTGTCGATGCGAGGATTGCGAGTGGTAACGGTGCTGACTGTGGTGCTACAGTGATGTATGCGTTGAGCAGGGACGCGAAGTAAGGAAAAAGAGATTTTCCTTACACTACCCCCCCCCCCCCCCTTAAGGAGGTCCTCCTTACGAAAGTGCGTGTACATCCCTGAAATTCCGGCTTCGCAGATACTCGGTGAGGACGGGGTGGTGTTCGATTCTGTCCAAGGGAACCCAATTGTCTTCGGTGGGTGTACGGTCCTTCCAGCGGAGTAAGAACTCGATCCTTCGGGCTCCTCAAGGGTCACGAACTCTGTGGCTCAGGATTTTTTCGGGGGTGATGATTGGTTCAGTCGGCGGTTGTATCATGCTGGCTGGGCGATTGCGTCGGAGTTGGCTTGTGGACGGGACGTAGGGGCGAAGCAGGCTGACGTGGAACGAGGGGCTGACGTACTAGTCAGCAGGGAGGAGGAGGTGAGCGGTGACGGGTGTTATCATGTGGCTTATGCGAAATGGCCCGCAGTATCGGGGGCAGAGTTTC